TTTAAATTAACATTTAATCACATAATTATCCATATTTGATTTATTTAATGATTTCTTGCAAAACAATTTATCACTTTACTCAAAATAATTAATCAATTATCTTATAAGGAAACAATTATCTTATTAATTGATAAATATCTTCATTTAGATCAAAAATATAGTCAAATATATCATACAATCGGATTAATATTGATCTAACATGATAAGGTAACTATCCATATGCAAAAACAGCAAGAAATCCCGAGATAAGCATTATCTGACGAGTTGACTCGTTGAGTCAAGCCTGGACTCGTCGAGTCACCCTGGACTCGGCGAGTTCAGCTATGGACTCGGCGAGTCCAGCCTCCAGAACACCAAAAATCGAATTTTTCAGATATACAATGCATCAATACAATCGAAACCAAGCTAGGCTCTGATACCACTGATGGGTTTTTGGTCATAAGACATCCTAAAGCTTGGATCTAGGTTTCTCTATTGTACATGCTTTGAATCCAAGACTATAAACCCTAATTCTAGCATTCAAGTAATCATATTAATATGTAATTAGGTTTAAGATCATACCTTGATTGTTATGTAGCAATAACAATCCCAATTCCTCCTTGAATTGACTTTGGAATGCTTAGAGTCACAAGTGTCACTCCTCTAATGCTTCACAAACACCATAATCAAGAGGATGAAGAGGAGAAAGGTTGGAATCTGCCCAAAAACGTATGGAACCCTCACAAGAACATTGGCCACGTTTTTGAGCCTTAAGGGGTCTTTATATAGTTTGGCTATTAGGGTTATCTCACAAGGAAACCCTAATTTGGATGCTTAAGCCCTAAGCAACCCATGAAGCCTTTTAATTAAGCCTTGGACGATTTCATATGGGCTTTCCCCATAGAATTCGTCCACCCCTTAATATAGGGCAATCCATGGCCCAAATTATAATTATCTTATAATTACAATTCTAGTCCCTTAAATTTAATTAATCTCTTTTAGTCACAAAACTAATTACCAATTAATTATTGACTAATATTAATTAAACAATATGATTTCTCCTTTAATATATTATTCCCATAATATATTAATAAATCATATTTAATCCTTTCTCTCCATAATCCATCATATCAAGTTGCTTTGGTGAAGGCAACCCAAAAGGACCATGCACCATTGGGTCAAGTACATACCAAAATAGTTATGGACTTAGACACTAATCCAACATGAATAACATATAAAAATTATATATATTTGTCAAAATACCTTCAAATATTCATAAGTGAATATACCTTGTAATATTCATATGTTAATAGACTGTGTAATATTCATAAGTGAATATATCATCTAATATTCACAAGTCAATATACTATGTAATATTCACATGTGATATACCATCTAATACTATGTAATACTCACATATGAAATATCATTTAATATTCATAAGTGAATATATCATCTAATATTCACAAGTGAATATATTATGTTAATATTCACAAGTAATGCATCGTCCAATATTAAAATGTGAATATACTATGTTTATTATATGCTATATTCATATATGAATGATACTTAAATTGTAAAAAAAAAGTCATACTTTTTATTCATAAGTGAACAACGAATATACTGTAATAAAACCTGATGCATTTTTATTCACTTATGAATAACGATAGCTGAAAATATAATTTTTTTTCATTTTATCTTAAAACTATATCAATATGGATGTCTATTTGTAGAGAATAAAAAATCATGAATTTTGGTATATTTAAAATCATTTTTTTTTTTATAAAAATAGCTTCTAAAAAAAAAAAAAAAAAAAAACGAAAAAACTATGTTTTTGTACATATTAAGGTAATGATTAGCATAGTTTAAGGAAATATGTTTTGTTGGAAACACATGTGCATTCCTTTCCGATTTTTGTCGGTACGTTTGAAACTTTTGCGGTAAAAATAAATGATTGACTGAGAATGATTCCCCCATTCTCAACCTTTTTTTTCTCAATTGAACACTCCTCTCTCTCTCTCTCTCTCTCTATATATATATATATATATATATATATATATATATATATATATATATATATATATATATATGTGGAAAACGACACAAAAACCCTATCTATTATACTCTAGCGCTTAAAAAAAACCCTTATATTATCATTTGGTACAATTTAACCATTATTATTTGTGATATTTATTATTTTGATGATTTGTAACCGGTTAAGCTTAAGGAACCGGTGGCATAAATGTTGTGGCATCTAAATAAATGACATGGTTGTACACTGGGTAACATGTTGGCAAAGAAAACTAGGTTAAAAAGTGGATCGCATCTTATTCTGCTTCTTCAAAGTTATGATCTTGTTCTTGTTACTCTTCTTCTTTTAACTTCGTCTTTGCAGAAATGGGCGATCGATCGTATGGATCTTCTTCTTCTTCTTCCTCAACTCTAAACTACGAAAACGTTTTGTGTATATGTGGTGAACAACCAAAGATTTGGACTTCAACGACCAGGAAGAACCCAGGGCAACATTTCATTCGATGCCCTAATTCGCTGGTATCTGAGATTCTTTTAAGATTGATATTGTTTCTCTAGTTGTTTCTCTAATTCTTACTCAAATACTTTATTTTTTGTAGGATACTTCAAAAGATTGTAAATTTTTTGTGTAGGTGGATGAGGATTTGGGTCTTCAATGGTATAAGAGTAAAGTGAATGAGTTGCATAGGGAGAATATGATCCTTTCTAAAAAGAATATGGAACTCGAGAAAGAGAACAGGAATCCGTAGAAGAAATTAATCAACTTTGAGCTGATTGACAAAAAAAAGACCGGTGTATTTATGGTTAGGTTGATGATGTATGGAATTGTTCTGGTTTGCATCTTCATTTGGGTTATAATTATGTAACAGGGAAAGTAGGTTGATGTAAAATAGCTAATTATGTATTAGGGTGATGTTGTTTGGTTTACGCACCTTTGTAAAGTTGAAGAAATGTACTTTAAAGACTTAGCACATTCTAACCGTTATAAGTTGGTTGAGAGAGGATTTATTGCATACATCTATTTTATGAAGAGAATGTAATTGTGTGAGTATATGGATTGTTCCAGGTTCCCTTCTTATGGTTATAATGTCATTGTATATTTGGGTAAAAATTAGTTGGATAGTTTTAACCTTTTGGTCGCATATTATCTCGTTATGGAGATTATTGTTGTTGGTTTCATTTTTTTGGTTTCAATACTTACCTGCATTTCCCCAATTGTGTTTTTACATTTTAAGCATTTGGATTCAATTGGTAATTAGATGCAGGTAGCACTTTTTTGCATAACATTTTTTTTAACGCACACCAACATCAATAACACTAGATGTTAAACACATCTACCGTTTAACCTTTTTTTTTTTGGCATTATTGAATTGATAATTGGGAATATTAGATGCAAGTAACAATTTTCTGCATAATACTTTTTTTCACACACGCCACCACCCAACGTAGAAACAGAAAAATAAATAAATAAATAAATAAATACTAAAATAGATATATTGATAAGCTATTCCCCATTTTACCATCCTGACTCATATCTATTTTAATACTCTATACCCCTTATCTGGAAATCCATAAACTGAAAAAAAAAAAATGACTTATCATACACAAATAGTTCATAGGAAATAGTTTAATTCACCATTTTTGCCCATTGACCATTTTGCCCTTGGTGGTTGTTTACGTTTTTCGCATAGAAGACATAAAATATGACAATTAAGGGGGGGGGGGGGGAGGAGGAACATAAAGTACATTTTTAGCATTTTTAAAACCCTACTCCATTAACAAATAGGAGGAACATAACCTGTTAATGGGACATAATGTTATTACATTCCAATAACAAAATACTAGGAGTACTAAATTCCAAGTAACAAAAGTATTACAAAAGACTAGAGTTTTGTCCCATTCTAGCTCCTAAATCTAATATTCTAAATAATCCTTTCAAATGGCTTTCTTGGCTTGAGCTTTGCACGGGTAACAGGTACATCAATACCTATCCCGCCAACCACATTATATTGATCTTCCAAATTAGCTACAAAAAAAGTTATGAAAGTATTAAATTTAACATAAGCATAGAATATATATATATATATATATATATATATATATATATATATATATATATAATTATTTCTTACCATTTTAAATATCAAATTGAGTTTCAGGCACTACATCTTGAGTTTCGGCCACTCCATCATCTTGAGCTATAGGAACTCCTTCATCAAATTGAGATTCAGGGAATTACAACATACGTTCACCTTCTCTCCTTTCCATTTCAGCCCTACGTAGTTCTTCCTCAAAATTATCAAACATGTTTATAACTTCATTTTCCATTGGTGAATCAAAGATTTCATCAATAAATGACCTTCCTCCTCTACCACCACTTGTACCTGCAGATGATCCTCTTCCACCTCTTGCCCCTGTTGGTCATTTTCCGCCTCTACCACCACTTGTAGATGCAGATGGTCCTCTCGGAGGTCTTTCATCAGAGTTTTTTTTTAGGCCTACCGAGAGGCTTCTTTTCCTTAGGAGGGGGAACAACCTTTACATTATTTCATGTCCTAGCATTGTGACCTTCTTGTAAACAGTTGTTACACTTCTTTATTTTCCCTTTACCCGAAACGGTGGGACACTTTGTCTGTTTTTCATTCTTGTCTCTTTTTCTTTTAATAGAAGACCTTCCTGGCATCCAACGTTCTTTTGGGGCAATAGCTTAACATATGGAGTTTTAACCCACAAACATTGACATATTTGAAATGACAAAACAGTCCTAATGTCAACACAGCCCCTATTGACATTTTTTCACATTGACCTTTGCTAAGCTTTAAAGAATATCTCTGTAAAAAAATCAGCTTTCATTTCTTTGACTTTCGTTTTGGGATTGCGAATTAGGTCACTAAGATAATGGTTAGCAATCCAACTTGGAGTTATCAATGACCCGAGGTTGTATTTACGTGCACAAACATGTTTCTTTTCCAAAGATTTCACTTGCCAAGTTAGTTCATTTCCCATCCAATATGCCCAACATCTAAATGGACACTTATTCTCATCATTTTTTTGGCACAACGTACTAATATCCTAGAACTATCACACTTGGGAAACCTCAATTGGTATCCATTAGCCACCGCATAATTTGTTAGACAAAGCTTGAGCTGTTCCGGGATTTCATATTTTTCCCCCAAGTGTGGTTCCATCATATTCCAAGGGATCCTAGGGTTGTGTACAAAACATTGGTCCCCAATTTGTTGATCTTTATGCTCTCCTTCGTCATATTCTTCATCTGAATGGGTCAATTCAACGTCATCAGATGATATTTCAGGCAATTCCACTTCACCCTGGAGGGGAGGAACATAAAATACATTTTTAGCATTTTTAAACCCCTACTCCATTAACAAATAGGAGGAATATAACCTGTTAATGGGACATAATGTTATTCCATTTCAATAACAAAATACTAGGAGTACTAAATTCCAAGTAACAAAAGTATTACAAAAGACTAGAGTTTTGTCCCATTCCAGCTCCTAAATCTAATATTCTAAATAATCCTTTCAGATGGCTTTCTTGGCTTGAGCTTTGCACGGATAACAGGTACATCAATACCTATCCTGCCAACCACATTATATTGATCTTCCAAATTAGCTACAAAAAGTTATGAAAGTATTAAATTAAACATAAGTATAGAATATATACATATACATATATATATATATATATATATATATATATATATATATATATATATATATATATTTCTTACCATTTTCAATATCAAATTGAGTTTCAGGCACTACATTTTGAGTTTCGGCCACTCCATCATCTTGAGCTATAGGAACTCCTTCATCAAATTGAGATTCAGGGAATTGCAACATAGGTTCACCTTCTTTCCTTTTCATTTCAGCCCTACGTAGTTCTTCCTCAAAATTATCAAACATGTCTATAACTTCATTTTCCATTGGTGAATCAAAGATTTCATCAATAAATGACCTTCCTCCTCTACCACCACTTGTACCTGCAGATGATCCTCTTCCACCTCTTGCCCCTATTGGTCATTTTCCGCCTCTCCCACCACTTGTTGCTGCAGATGGTCCTCTCGGAGGTCTTTCATCAGAGTTTTTTTTAGGCCTACCGAGAGGCTTCTTTTCCTTAGGAGGGGGCACAACCTTTACATTATTTCATGTCCTAGCATTGTGACCTTCTTGTAAACAGTTGTGACACTTCTTTATTTTCCCTTTACCCGAAACGGTTGGATACTTTGTCTGGTTTTCATTCTTGTCTCTTTTTCTTTTAATAGAAGGCCTTCTTGGCATCCTACGTTCTTTTGGGGGAAATAGCTTATCATATGGAGTTTTAACCCACAAACTTTGACATATTTGAAATGACAAAACAACCCTAATGTCAACACAGCCGCTATTGACATTTTTTCACATTGACCTTAGCTAAGATTTAAAGAATATCTCTATAAAAAATCAGCTTTCATTTCTTTGACTTTCGTTTTGGGATTGCGAATTAGGTCACTAAGATAATGGTTAGCAATCCAACTTGGAGTTATCAATGACCTGAGGCTGTATTTATGTGCACAAACATGTTTCTTTTCCAAAGATTTCACTTGACAGGTTAGTTCATTTCCTATCCAATATGCCCAACATCTAAATGGACACTTATTCTCATCATTTTTTTTTTGGCACAACGTACTAATATCCTAGAACGATCACACTTGGGAAACCTCAATTGGTATCCATTAGCCACCGCATAATTTGTTAGACAAAGCTTGAACTGTTTCGGGCTTTCGTATTTTTCCCCCAAGTGTGGTTCCATCATATTCCAAGGGATCCTAGGGTTGTGTACAAAAAATTGGTCCCCAATTTGTTGATCTTTATGCTCTCCTTCGTCATATTCTTCATCTGAATGGGTCAATTCAACGTCATTAGATGATATTTCAGGCACTTCCACTTCACCCTGGAGGGGAGGAACATAAAATACATTTTTAGCATTTTTAAACCCCTACTCCATTAACAAATAGGAGGAATATAACCTGTTAATGGGACATAATGTTATTACATTTCAATAACAAAATACTAGGAGTACTAAATTCCAAGTAACAAAAGTATTACAAAAGACTAGAGTTTTGTCCCATTCCAGCTCCTAAATCTAATATTCTAAATAATCCTTTCAGATGGCTTTCTTGGCTTGAGCTTTGCACGGATAACAGGTACATCAATACCTATCCTGCCAACCACATTATATTGATCTTCCAAATTAGCTACAAAAAGTTATGAAAGTATTAAATTAAACATAAGTATAGAATATATACATATATATATATATATATATATATATATATATATATATATATATATTTCTTACCATTTTCAATATCAAATTGAGTTTCAGGCACTACATCTTGAGTTTCGTCCACTCCATCATCTTGAGCTATAGGAACTCCTTCATTAAATTGATATTCAGGGAATTGCAACATAGGTTCACCTTCTCTCCTTTCCATTGCAGCCCTACGTAGTTCTTCCTCAAAATTATCAAACATGTCTATAACTTCATTTTCCATTGGTGAATCAAAGATTTCATCAATAAATGACCTTCCTCCTCTACCACCACTTGTACCTGCAGATGATCCTCTTCCACCTCTTGCCCCTGTTGGTCCTTTTCCGCCTCTACCACCACTTGTAGCTGCAGATGGTCCTCTCGGAGGTCTTGAATCAAAGTTTTTTTTAGGCCTACCGAGAGGCTTCTTTTCCTTAGGAGGGGGAACAACCTTTACATTATTTCATGTCCTAGCATTGTGACCTTCTTGTAAACAGTTGTGACACTTCTTTATTTTCCCTTTACCCGAAACGGTTGGATACTTTGTCTGTTTTTCATTCTTGTCTCTTTTTCTTTTAATAGAAGGCCTTCCTGGCATCCTACGTTCTTTTGGGGGTAATAGCTTATCATATGGAGTTTTAACCCACAAACTTTGACATATTTGAAATGATAAAACAACCCTAATGTCAACACAGCCCCTATTGACATTTTTTCACATTGACCTTTGCTAAGCTTTAAAGAATATCTCTGTAAAAAATCAGCTTTCATTTCTTTGACTTTCATTTTGGGATTTGTGAATTAGGTCACTAAGATAATGGTTAGCAATCCAACTTGGAGTTATCAATGACCCGAGGCTGTATTTACGTGCACAAACATGTTTCTTTTCCAAAGATTTCACTTGCCAAGTTAGTTCATTTCCCATCCAAGACGCCCAACATCTAAATGGACACTTATTCTCATCATTTTTTTTGGCACAGCGTACTAATATCCTAGAACGATCACACTTGGGGAAACCTCAATTGGTATCCATTAGCCACCGCACAATTTGTTAGACAAAGTTTGAACTGTTTCGGGCTTTCGTATTTTTCCCCCAAGTGTGGTTCCATCATATTCCAAGGGATCATAGGGTTGTGCACAAAAATTTTGTCCCCGATTTGTTGATCTTTATGCTCTCCTTCGTCATATTCTTCATCTGAATGGGTCAATTCAAGGCAATTCCACTTCACCCTGAGGGGAGGAACATAAAGTACATTTTTAGCATTTTTAAAACCCTACTCCATTAACAAATAGGAGGAATATAACCTGTTAATGAGACATAATGTTATTACATTTCGATAACAAAATACTAGGAGTACTAAATTCCAAGTAACAAAAGTATTACAAAAGACTAGAGTTTTGTCCCATTCCAGCTCCTAAATCTAATATTCTAAATAATCCTTTCAGATGGCTTTCTTGGCTTGAGCTTTGCACGGATAACAGGTCCATCAATACCTATCCTGCCAACCACATTATATTGATCTTCCAAATTAGCTAAAAAAAATTATGAAAGTATTAAATTTAACATAAGCATAGAATATATATATATATATATATATATATATATATATATATATATATATATATATATATATATATATATTATTTCTTACCATTTTCAATATCAAATTGAGTTTCACGCACTACATCTTGAGTTTCGACCACTCCATCATCTTGAGCTATAGGAACTCCTTCATCAAATTGAGATTCAGGGAATTGCAACATAGGTTCACCTTCTCTCCTTTCCATTTCAGCCCTACGTAGTTCTTTCTCAAAATTATCAAACATGTCTATAACTTTATTTTCCATTGGTGAATCAAAGATTTCATCAATAAATGACCTTCCTCCTCTACCACCACTTGTACCTGCAAATGATCCTCTTCCACCTCTTGCCTTTGTTGGTCCTTTTCCGCCTCTACCACCACTTGTAGCTGCAGATGGTCCTCTCGGAGGTCTTTCATTAGAGTTTTTTTAGGCCTACCGAGTGGCTTCTTTTCCTTAGGAGGGGGCACAACCTTTACATTATTTCACGTCCTAGCATTGTGCCCTTCTTGTAAAACGTGGCAAGCCTCTTTATTTAAGAGAAAAAATTGCCATAGATAATATTATTAATATTAAAAATGCAAAAAGTAGATATATAATATAACGTTTCAGAATTCTTTCATTATTGTTACTATTATTTTTTTTTTATAAATAATATTATTAATATTACTATTATATGCATTTAACAAACGTTTTTAATACGTATTTAAATATAAAAACATATTCATTAAGATTAAAAAACATTTTTATACATAATTTATATATAAATTAACCTTTTAGACGACTTTATATATATATATATATATATATATATATATATATATATATATATATATATATATATAAAAGCATTATTTAAATGTACAAAAAGATTTTTATACTATAAAAATGTATAAATATTTTTTTTAGTTTAACTACCTTTTAAAATTTATAAAGAAATCATAAATATATAATAATAACTATTTTTATTGTCATTATAATTGTAATCATAATGAGTGAAGTATCCCTGCTTTGTGGGGGTCGGATTTGAAGGGGTCGGATTTGAATCCGACAATCATATAGGTAAAATCGGTCAAACATAGTCACATACATAGATGATCACAAATAGACATACTTTACAGCAAACACCTAGCAACATACAGTCTGCATACACAAGATCATATACAGAAACAAGCAGTCAAATTGAATAAGACTTGATCTAAAAAAATGCATAGACATCCACTAGAATACACAATCACATCCTTTACAGTTGTAAGATGAATACGGTTTCTAGTAGAGAGTGTAGAACAAACAAAATCCAATACACATATATCTGTACATATCCCTACAACCATAATATGAAAAAAAAAAAAAATCCAATACACATATATCTGTACATATCCCTACAACTATAATACTTCAATTTTGCATAAATGATGACACGTATACCTGAGAGTGAACAAAAGCACCGGGGATGTCCTTGGAAACATGTAATCGAAGATCAAAAGTTGCACATCCACCAGAATACACAGTGGCATCCTTTGTAGGTTTGCTCGAATAACTCCTATATCTACAATCTTTGCAACCTCCTGCACCTGCATTTGTTTTCGTATTCACACCACTATATGATTCATATAAAATGACCAATAAGAGAAGGCCACATAGAAAGTGGAAAAATATATATATATATTTTTTTTATATATAAATATAGTCTTAAAAAAAAGGTAACTTACTTGGTCTAACAAAATCAGATAAACCGAAATCTATAACCTTCATTGGAGAATCTTCGTCTTTTGTACTAAAAAGAAAGTTCTACTCAAGCATCATCATGTTAAAATGAAACTAAAAACCATCATTCAATTGTTCCAAATGAGATTAAATTAAAAATAAGTAATTGTATATACAACGGATACCTCTGACTTTAAATAACGGTGTACAACTCCTTGTAGATGAATAAATTAAGCTGCATTTAGTATTTGCATAACAATTGATTTAGCATCCTATTCTACCCTTTCGCACAATCTGTCAAAACACAAAATAAGAAAATCTTAATAAAGGTTTTACAAAATATTGACAACTGGGCAAATTACAAAAAAAAAAAAAAAAAAAAAAAAAAAAGTACTTAACTCTTTTTTACCAATAGTAGCATTGTACTTACATATCTCTACAAATAATAGCAATATGTGACATGAATTATAAAATACTTGAAAGTTTCATTTCATTCGTATTAATGATATTTTCTTAATTATTAGGGGACTAAATGATCAATGTTGTATTATACTACATAATTTTTAGTTACAGACAATTCAATAATGTAAATGCATTTACAGATTTATTAGATTTTATTATAGCATACTAAACAAAGACTCAAACTAAAATATAGCACATTATTCACATATATACATTTTTTTTTTATAAAGTAGCAAGTGTTTCTATAAACGGAAGGTAACAAAGAAGAACCACAATCATCATCATCCTCTGTATCCCAATAAGGAGGTGATGTGGGAGCACTTCCATTCTCCATTTGCTTAGAAGATCTGCATTCCACCAATGGAAAGCTGCTGACCATTTGACATTGCCTACTCCAGACTACTCACTTGAACTCCCTGCCATTTTTCCACTCAACAAATCCTTACACAAACAAAAGCATAAAATCAATTGATCATCAAAACTTGCAATCCAACATTGTTGTTTCTCTACCATAACATTTTTTAACAGAGCATATCATCATCTTTTATGGAAAAACTTAACCGTGAAACTGAAAAGATGAACTAATTGAACACATAGGCATATAACCAACATGTAGACGCATGTATGTGTGTTAATTAGCAAAATCCATTCTAGGAGTTTCATAATAATCGAATTGAGTTCCAATTTTCGTGGTTAGGTGGAGATAGCGGTGGAGATGCCGTGATCAATGAATGGTCTGATGGTAGTGATGACTGTCCCAATCTATTCTCGTCAATTGACTCGCCCTAGCTCGTTACAACTTATCAATAACTGATTTGAAGTAAGAATCATGATATAAGGATAGACAAATAACAAAATTGAACATGCAAAGAAACAAATCCAAATCACTCGATCAACATTGAATTGAAATCAGTCAAAGCGTTTGGGGAGAAGTGACGAGAATCGAAATCAACGTGGCCACAAAACTATATAGAAGTATCTAACAACCTTGATAAGGACGACATTGTTAAACAGTGGAAGCGATGATGTTGTAAGTGAGTAGGTCTTCTTCTCCAGACTCTCTTCAATTTGAAACTGGTAAGGAATAAATGAATTTCGTTCCTTCTATTGAATTAATTATGAGAAGAATTGAAAAAGCAAAGACAGGAGAGTGCAAGACATGGACGACATGCAGGAAATCGGCTCAATACCAGCCAAAACCCACCCTATCCCAGCCAGCAGAGCCAAAATCGGGAAGCCTAAGCTGTTGGTGACTTATCAACCACTTATCCCGAACTGATTTTGAAAGGATTTTAAATTTTTTTGTCTCTTATCAACCACATGGCCGACGTCGTCGTCGTTGGAGGCCAGGTTGCTCTTCCTCCACTTTTTCCAACATCTAGTTCGTCTTTCCGTTTTCCTTTTGAGAAGACGATAGTTTGAAGTTCAAGGGTTTTTTGTTGTAGGGTAATAAACGGTAGTGATATAATTGGAGGAGACAGGGGAGGATGGTCGATACCTGAAATCGAATAGATCGACGGTAGTGGTGACAGGTAATGAGATTGTGATGATCGATTGGGTTTTTGATTTGTGACGATATACAAACACGAAGAGTGGAGTTTGGAAACAGTAGGCGGTGATACAGCTCAGAGATCAAATATGGTAAAGTGAAGGGGCGTAGATTGAAAGCTTGAACGCGATCACAGTATTATCCCAAAAATCTGAAACGATTGAAGAAAGAAGAGGAACGAAAGAAGAAGTAGAAAAGGACCGGGGTGAACCAACCGACTGCTTCCAAATTACGTGTCGGAGGGGAGAAATTTCGTTGTAATAGAAAATGTGGACCGTCTCAGATGTCAGACGAAGACCGCCTCTTAGCTGCAACCGATAAAACGCAGGTGGTGATATACGCGTGTATACGTCCGAAGGATCGATGTGGCAGTAGCAGTGGTGGCAGAACGTTTTGCTAGGCTGATACTAAAAAAAATTTCTAAAAATTCTAAATTAGTAATGATAATAAGACGTTCACCCAATAGAAAAAACACAAAAAAAACATAAAAAAAAAAAACTTTTTTTTTTACACGTGCTGGAATTGGAGCAGTGGCCTGGAACCCGGAACACAGCTAAGATCCGCCATTGAGTAGGTGGCATGTAAAGTAGAAGAACAGGTAGAATGAGGCGGTGGAGGAAACATTGAGAACACTACCAATCTAGTCTAGTAATGAATAAAATTGAAAAGAATGGAAGAAAACCGGCACAATTAATATAAAAAATATAGACCAATAAAGATAATATATTGTTCACAAAGGAACATTCTTTAATATATATATATATATATATATATATATATATATATATATATATATATATATATATATATATATATATATTTATATAGGTTCAAATGTTTCTAACGACTATTATGTTCCTAAGTACACCAATCACAAATTAGCAAATAATTAAATAATTAATTAAATCAAAAAATGGTATTTCTGGTCTTTTGCACTTACAATTAAAGAAACAAAATAAATATATGTTGACCTAAGGGAAATCCGCGAAAAAGTCCCGATATTTTAGGTCAGTTTACGATTTACTCCCAAATTAAACTTTGTATACAAAAAAGGACAGATTACCGGCTAAAACTTCCAATTAATCCTTCGTGGCCGGTTTCACCGATTTAGCCGGTATCTCGTATTTTTTCGTTAATTAATCAAAATTTTAGGGCTTTTTCATTAATTAATCAAAATTTTAGGGCTTTTTCATTATTTATTACCAATAAACCAAAATATTTGGACTTTTCTGAAGATTACATTTAAACTAATATATATTATATGATCTAATTTAATATGTACTATTCCATGTATTCTTTCTTATGCTCTTCTACGCTCACCGTGTGTTTTTATCGGTGTCGTCAAACCCAACAACAAAAATCACACAAGCCTCATTAACTCCATCGATTTTCTGAAATTATCCATTCATAACTCTATGATCATCTTTCAATCTCCAAATAAAGAACGGAGAAAATCCTTGTTGATTACGTGAATGTCCCTATTACCTAACCATGACTTAAATCGTGGTTCAAACACTTGGATGTTCTTATTACCTAACCATGACTTGAATCCTATTTTGAACCCATACACTATTCGCTTTGTCCATAGTGTTGTTCACAACAAAATACGAATCCTACATGGTTTAACCACTGATACCTTGGCTCAAGTCTTACATGACCCTTGTTTCCTTACAATAGGGCTTGAAAACCATGAAGAATGACCCATTAAGCTTAAAAAACTCAACATAGGTAAAAAAATCAACTCGATATTATGTACTGAAAACCATGAAGAATGATAACTCTAATTGTAAAAAAATGTCAACAAGCTATCCATCATAAACTATTAAAATATTAATTTGGTATACCTACGAGCTACGGTTCCAACACTCGGATGTTCCTATTACCTAACCATGACTCGAACCTTATTTCAAACACATACACTAATGGCATTGTCCATATTTTTGTTAACAACAAAATACGAATCCCACATGGTTTAACCATTGATACCTTGGCTCAAGTCTTACTTGACATTTGTTTCCTTACAATAGGTGTAACATCCCGACTCCCAGGTATAATATTTAATTATTTTATATTCTTGTTGTCTGATCAACTTGACGAGTTGGAGGCCCCAACTCGCCGAGTAGAGAGTGTTAATGGTCGCGTAATTTCTAGAGTCTACTCGACAAGTTGGAGGACCCCAACTCGACGAGTAGGAGTTGAGTGTGAAAACCCTAATTTCCAGGGTATGTGTCCTATTTAAAGGACCTTAAGCCTTCATTTCCGCCTCCCTTATCATCTTAACACTCTGAGAGAAACCCTAATTGAGCTATATGCTTGTAGGAGAGAAAAAGGGGCTAATATTGCATATTGTAGTGCACTTTTTGGAAGAAGATTGAGGAGGAAAAGGCTTGGGACGAGATCCATCAATAAGATTGTGTTCCGATCTTTATCAAAAAGTTCATCATTTATTGGTTTTTGTCTTGCCAAAAACTAATGCATTTTAGAAGCCCCAAATAGACTAAAATGTAATAATGACAATTGTTGTGATGTTACGTTTAAGTCATAATGACAATTGGTGTGATATTACAATAATTGTCATTATTATGTTTTAGTCTATTTAGGGCTTCAAAAATGCTTTACTTTTTGACAAACAAAAACCAATAAACGATGAACCATGTGGGATTCATCTTACGTTGGGGCTTCTATAGTGTTGTAAGGAAACAAGGGTCAAGTAAGACTTGAGCCAATGTATAAGTGGTTGAACATGTGACATTCGTCTTCTATTGTTAACAACATTATGGACAACGCCATTAGTGTATGGGTTCAAGTCATGGTTAAGTAATAGGAACATCCAAGTGTTGGAACCATGGTTTAAGTCATGGTTAGGTAATAAGGACATCCACGTAATCAACAAGGATTTTCTCCGTTCTTTATTTGGAGATTGAAAGATGATCATAGAGTTGTGAATGGATAATTTTGGAAAATTGATGGAGTTAACGAGGCTTGTGAGTGAAATTTTTGTTGTTGGGTTTGACAACACCGATAAAAACACACGGTGAGCCTAGAAGAGGATAAGAAAGAAGACATGGAATAGTACATATTAAATTAGATCATATAATATATATTATTTTAAGGCAAGGTTGTAAAAATCAATCGGCGGTAGCTCGACGGTCGACTTGCGATAAGCGATTAATAAGATTCGGCGGAGATTAATTGGCGATTAATCAGGGACCCTAAATTATTAATAAAATTATTTAAAAAATTAATATTTCCTAAAAAATTAAGTATTCGAACATTTTAAATTTTAAAATTTTAGTACAATATTTTAAAATTTGAAAGCTTAAAAATTTAAAATTTTAAAACTTTGATGTAATATTTGAAAATTATTATTATTTTTTTAATTTTTTAAATATTTCCAACCTATGACCGCCAAGGCCGCCAAGGATCACCAAGCCCGAGTTTGACCGATTTTGACTAATTTCCACCAAGCCCCTAATCGTAATTGGTTCGAGACCGCCAAGCGATTAATCGGCCGCCAAGGCCGATTTCTGCAACACGGGTTTAAAGGTAATCTTCATAAAAGTCCAAATATTTTGGTTTATTGGTAATAAATAATGAAAAACCCTAAAATTTTGATTAATTAATGAAAAAGCCCCAAAATTTGGATTAATTAACGAAAAAAGACGAGATACCGGCTAAATTTGTGAAACCGGCCACGAAGGGTTAATCCGAAGTTTTAGTCAGTAATCTATCCTTTTTTGTAAACAAAATTTAATTTGGGACTAAATCGTAAACTGGCCTAAAATATTGGGACTTTTTCGTAGATTTCCCGTTGACCTAATATTTATTCTTTATAACCATCGACATACCTTCTGTATTCCTCATCTTGCCACTGCCATATCTTCTTCCTCCCTCTCCTTTGTCGGCTTCGTATTCCATCACCGAAATCGGTCTATAGTTACCGCTGTACACCAACATCCTAGCCCTAACATCCTAGCCCTGGTATGTTCTTGAACTCAATTTCTAATGTTTAAACCTAAAGAAACATCGACCCACATGTATCTTGTCTTCATTATCGACAACCACCACCATCTTCTTGTCCTTTCGGTTGCTGACCACCACTATCATCTCCATCGCAGTCAACCATCGTGACTACCCTCTTCCTTCCTCATATCCACCGCTACCACTGACCACCACGACTACTCTTTTCGATCAATGTCACTGTCAGAGGTCAAAGGAGCAACTTCAAATGATTCAACTAAGGTTTTCCCGACATTTGTGAATGCTGCAAAGTTATTCAAGGGCAAAGTATATGGAATTACTAGTTTTATAAAGCCTATTGGAGATTATTTTGGCATCATAGGAGATGCTCCACAAGTAAGACACTTCTACATTATCCATCTTTTCTCATTTTTTTTTTACTTTTTTCAAAATGTAATGTAAATACTGGATGTCTTAACCAGGTTATTGGATATACCAGAAATGATGATGTGAAGAAATTTGTGTTTGACCAAGATTTGACCTTTGAAAACCTTAAGGCATTAAAATTAACAATGATCTTCAATTAACAATGTAAGAATCCAATTGGGTGTTTCTTAATGTCTTAATGTCCTTTTTATATCAAATTGCCAGGATTTTGTGGAGGGTTTTTTTGGAAGAAAAGCTTAAAGCTTTTTATAAATCTGATCCAATTCCTGAGAATGTAAGTTGTTATTTTTGGGAATTCGGATTTTATATATTTATTCTGAGAGTAAGTTATAACTTTTTCTTTTGATGATTGTTAGAATGATGGTGATGTGAAGATAGTAGTTGGGAATAACTTTGATGATATTGTCTTGGATGAGTCAAAAGATGTTCTACTAGAGGTAAGATGGAATCGGGGAAGGAATGGAATGGTCTATTCCGTCATGGAATGGAATGAAATATTACAATATAACCCATTTTTATCTACATTGTCTTGGATGAGTCAAAAAATACACCATAGTGTGGGCATTGTCAAGCTCTAGAACCAACTTACAACAAACTTGCTAAACATTTATGTGATATTGATTCCTTAGTAATAACAAATATGGATGGAACTACAAATGAACATCCAAAGGCAAAGGTATTTTTTTTAATTTTAATCTTTTGAATCTTAAAGGTTTTTTAATTAAGTCCAAACGTGATTTCTGATTTTGGATTTCGGACTTTGGAAGGCTGATGGGTACCCGACAATTCTTTTCTATCCAGCAGGAAACAAAAGCTTTGATCCTGTAAGTGATATTTGGATAGATAAATTGTGGTATGCATTCTGTCAAAATTACTGGCAACACATGTTTTATGTAATTGTTTAAAAAGGTAATTAATTTATTTGTGTATTATTTTGGTTCAATTTGTGATTTTGAATTCCAATTTCTATTGTCCCTCGTTATTGTATATTTGGAATCTAAAATTATATTAGCAGAAAATACAATACTTTTGAATGTATTCTATGTATTCTACCAGAATAAAATCTATGTATTCTGCTAGAATGTATTTTATGTATTATGTTATATTCTATGTATTCTTTCAGAATATATAAAGTGATAATTAATAGCAAGTAACACATTTTTAACCATTATTAGTTTATTTTGTATTTATGATAGGAATGGCTGAAAGAATGCGTTGAATATCTAATATGAATAACTTGAAGAATGAATAAAGTTTGATCATACTCATAATTTAAGAATGTTGTTATTTTTTTTAAGAATTTTATTCATTTTTGTTGATATTCTTTTAGAATATATGTATAATTATATTAAAATGTATAAGACTTTTAGTCTGTAAGAATATTGTATGAATTTGTATTTAAGTTCGGATGTATAAGAATATGTTAAATGTTGTTATTTTTCAACCTCGAATTCAACAATTTTGGTATTCTTCAAAATATTCTAATAGAATAAAATTCTGAAAGCACATCATTCTACAAAAAAAATATTTAGATAGAATAAATCGGTTATGTTAAAAAATTAAGTTAGAATTAAAAATGAATTAATTAAAAAAATTCAGATTTTTAAAATTAGGAGAATTAATTATCCTTAAAATCCGAAAATTTACTTTTATAAATGTAGTTAATTGTCCAAAATACCATTTTGCTAACATTTGTGTGATTATATGGTACATGTTATCCCATTTTAATATCATGCACTCTCAAATCATATCCATTGATTAATTCCATCCGTTGGTCCAGATGTGTGCATTTTGGCACACAATAGTTAGTAAAAAAAATAACCTATATATATATATATATATATATATATATATATATATATATATATATATATATATATATTTGTTTTAATTGTAATTATAACTAGATGAGTTTCTCACGCGTTGCATGGGTTAGAAGACACGTTATTCTAAATTGGTTGTCATAGTAATTAACTAAAGTACGTTGCTATCTCTTATACTCAATTGCTTGCAGATATGGTCAAAGCAACGACTAAAGATGGAGGCTGGAGAAAAAATTGAAATTTGTGTCGTACTTCATGTTAGAAGCTTACAAATGGTATAGGCCTACATACCAGAAAAAGAGTAAAATACAAAATTATAATCCCTATTTATTATAGCTTACAAATGGTATAGGCCTACATACCAAGGAGGAACTCGACGAGTCCGAGCGGGATCCGGGTCAAGGTGTAAGTGGCCGACTCGGCGAGTCGGAGAATGGACTCGGCGAGTCCAGTCTGAAGAGAGAAACCCTAAATCCGGGACATTGTGTAGTATTTAAACGTCTCATTCTCTTCCTTAGGGTTCCTTTAAAGATCCTCTCATCCAGAACACCGAGCCCTAAGCCCCATTGTTGCTCATTCAAGCTTCCAAGCCATTTTTGGGTGATTTGAAGGAAGAAGGAAGAGGGAAATCATTGAAGCCTCAAGGATTGGCCTTAGATCCAGAGTTTGTGGAACCTTTCAAAGTTATTGAAGGTACTAAGTCGTTTCCTTCATTTAGATCTATTCTAGTTATGAGTTTTGGGGTTTTTAAGCCATGTTTAGATATCCATTTGAGTTAGAAACCAGATTTGAAGTTGCTACTTCGGATCTAAACACATTTTGGCCTTGTGAAGCATAAAGTATCTGCCCTTGAGTTGATTATAGAGCCTCCTTGCCTTAAACCCTAGTTTATGGTGTGTTTAGCCTAGATCTCCTTCTCTACACGTAAAGTTTGCAACTTTACATGAGGAAAAGGCTTGGGAAGGGTAGATCTACAGTTTGGAGTCCAAGCATGACTCAAAAGTCCTCTGCGTGTATGAAGAACTGAATGGACTCGGCGAGTCCTTTAGGTGGACTCGGCAAGTAGCATGAAGATTAGGAGAAACTCGACGAGTGGGATGAACAACTCGTCGAGTCGGATGAAGATTGCCTTGGACTCGGCGAGTCTGTTCTTGGACTCGACGAGTCAGGTCGCGAAACCCTGAAACCTTTGAGTTAAGACTAGAATCAGTGAGTCGGGTGGAGACTCAGTGAGTTAGACAGGACAAGACTCAGAAATCGGTGGACTCGACGAGTCATGGGCTGACTCGGCGAGTCGAGTCACGAATAGAAGGACTCTGAGCATATGAACTCGGCGAGTCAGTAGGTAGACTCAGCGAGTAGGGTTGACCTGGAAGGTTGACCTTGACCAGGACTTTGACTTTTACCAGAGTTGACTTGGTTGACTTTTGAGAAGTCGATTAGGCTAAGTGTTTTATTGATATTGGTAGCTCGGGGAGCTAGCGGAACAGCAGTTCAGTGAATTGTGGGTCAGCATCCAGAAGGTTATCAGCAAGTTCAGCAGTTCGAGGTGAGTTTCCCTTTTGTGTGGATGGGTCTACGGACACAATGCCGGTCCATGTAGTTATGAGCAGGAAGACCCGGGGGTTAGCCCTAAGCACAGTATGCTAGTATGATATTCAACACGAGGTCCAATGTTAGCGGGCGGGTGCCCAAGGAATGGTTTGCATGATAGTTATACTTGTTGTCTGTGTGATACATGTATGTGCCTGGTAAGGAGGTGAGTGTGGACGAGGTCCCGTAAACAGCAGGGTATGGACGGTGTTCCATATCTCATTAGTAGCAGAGTAAGGGCGAGGCCCAGGTTAGGGAAAGGGTGAGTGTCGGTCGGGCCCGTATCTCACTATCAGTAGGAGCGTGGACAGGGTTCCATGACTCATCAGGTTAGGGAAAGGAATGGTTTGCCCGAAAATTCCAAAGCATTGGCACACACAGAAAGTCGGGAGTCGTTGCTAAGATCCCAGGGTGGGACAAAAACAGCAGACTCAGAAGTACCATCTCCAGAACCACTATCCTTGGGGGAATTAGCTTGCCCAGGGACACCAAAATCCTTGGCCGGGGAAAGCTTGGAAGGAACAAAAGGAACACGAGGAGAAGGAATAGAAGAAAAGTCTGAAATAACGGGCTGTTCAGTCGCCCTATTAATCCATTCGGCCTATTGCATGTCGTCATCAGGGATCACTACCACACCAGTTGGGGTGGAATTCATAGAACTCAGTAGGCGAGAGAAGCTGCGCCTAGTATGCACTCTCTTGGAAGCGGTGGGCGCTCCAGTCACAGGCTCGCCCATGGCTTGTACAACTTTTCGTTTTGCCTGCATCCGCTGGACATCTGCAATGATTCCTTCTTTGCTATCTTCGTTGCCCTCCATGGAAGAAGAAGAGACACCACCTAGGTGCATAACAACAGAAATGGGGCGAGCATGTAACGGGTTCTCCTCGAACATCGATGAACCTGCTGGAGGAACGGGAGGGACAATGGTCAGGGCAAGCTAATCCATTCGGCGGGGCGGAGGGAGCCGATCGACCAGATCCACCTCGCAAAACTCCAACGTGCCCCGGTAACGTTTGCGCAACACATCATCCATGGACAGAGAGGACTCAGCACCTACGTCAAGCAGAACGGAAAATATAAGTAACACGGGAGTAATAAGGGGACAAAAAGGGGAAGAGAAGGATGAAACACTTACCATCAACGACGGAGAAGAACACATCCATCTTGCCACGTCGCCTCCAGGACGTTCTCATCCCTACCCCAGGAAGAAGTGCCTCAGAGTAATCCTCAGCAGAGACCTGCACACTCTTCAGGTAGTCGGCGACACCCTGGTTGTGGGGAAAAAGTTTAGGGATGGTTTCGGCGAAAGCATTTGCACGATAGCGACCACTCCCAACTAACTCCTGATTCACCCACAACCACTTATCCTGCCAGTTCTTCAGGGTGCGCCTGTCGGGAACCAAGACATGTCCTCCTCACCGGACCGAGAAGATGTATTTGTCTCCGGTAACACAGAATCGAAAGAATAACTTGAAGACGAAATAATCCGGAAGATACCCATTGGCTCTGCAGATCATTTCAAACGCAACCACCTTGTTAACCGCATTGGGAGTCAACATTTGAAGACTGACACCATCTTTCTGGAGGACCTCCTCCTGAAAATCGGTCAACAGGAAATAGATTCTAGCGTCTAGGGTTTTCAAGAAAACCCCAATCTTGCCGGGAGGAAGGGAGGAAATACTAGAACCAGGTGCAGGAAACTCTACACCTTCCAAAGAAGATAAGCCATAGGTGGCCTCCAGGCGACGATACTCAGTGGTAGAGGGGACGATTCCGGGAAGGTCTGCCATGAGGAAAAGAAGAAAGAAAAAGGAAGAAAGAAGAAGGCAAAGAAGGAAGAAGGGAAGGATAAAGGTAAACCGTTCGAAAGCCCCTATAAAGAAGAGGGAGAGGTGGGACATTTAAATGCTTGACATGATTGTTGGATTAGTGTCTAAGTCCATAACTGTTTTGGTATGTACTTGACCCGATTATGAGCATGGTCCTTTTGGGTTGCCTTCACCATAGCAATATGTAGGATGATTTAAGGAGAGAAAGGTTTAAATATGATTTATTAATATATTATGAGAATAATATATTAAAGGAGAAATCATATTGTTTAATTAATATTGGTCAAGAATTAATTAAGAATTAATTTTGTGGTTAAAAGAGATTAATTAAACTTAGGGGACTGAAGTTGTAATTATAAGATAATTATAATTGGGCTATGGATCACCTAATAATATATAGGTTGAACGAATTCTATGGGAAGCCCATTAGAAATCGTCCAAGGGATATGTTTAAGGAGTCCATGGGATGCTTAGGGCCTAAGCAGTCAGATTAGGGTTTCCTAGTTGTAAACCCTAATAGCCTACATGTATAAAAGGGACCCTTAAGCCCCAAAAACGAGGACAACACTTCCATTAGGGTTTCCAGCCGTTTTTGGTGCCTCTTTTTCTTCTCCTCTTCATCCAAGTTGCATATGGTGTTTGTGACTCCATTAGAGGTACTACACTTGTGGTACTTGCTTTCAAGAGCTAAGGAAATTCAAGGAACTAGTTGTTATTGCTATATAACAACAAAAGGTATGTATTCTAGCTTTATATATGAATTTCGAAAATTATAGTAGCATGCCAGGTTTCTTTTTGTGTTCATAAAGTTGTATAACTAATAGTGAAAACATAGATCCAATACTAGGGTTGCATGCACACATAGGATTGTTTGTATAAGACCCATCAGTGGTATCAGAGCCATTGGTTTTTGTTTTCAATTAGCTTTTATTCAAATTTGTGAACTTGACATATTAGGGTTTATGGCTAATAAACCCTAAAGGCTAGGTAATTTTCGCAATTAGGGTTGCAAAACCCTAGATGGCGATTTTTGCTAGGGTTTCCCAAATCCTTTCCTTAGCCTCCAAGATTTTGAAATCTAGGGTTATCCAACCCTTGGATTTCGAAATTACCTCCTTCCCCAAGGTTAGATCCTAAATTTTAGGGATTTGGATAATCCCATATCTTGTAATTATCTTTTAATTGTTAAATATGGTAATTAAAGATCTTGAATTATCCCATCCCTTATTTTCGAGATTTAGAGAGGGATTCAAGGGATTAGGATATCTTAGATGTATAATTGGTAATTATCCTCATGATCTAGATAATCCCTTGTGATTTAATAATTTAAATTAATTGTTTAATTTATGGTAATTATTAAATCAAGAGTTTTAATATTTAAAATTTTAATTTAAATGTCTTAAATTCGAAAATTTTAAGTGAGATTAAAACCTAATTGTTTTGAAGAGTTTCAAAACTTGCCCTCAAGTTTTGGAATTTAAATTGTTGATTAAAAGTTAATTTTGAAAGTCTAAATTCCAAAACCCTGATTTTGAAAAGTTCAAATTAAACCCTTATGGTTTTATTAAATTAATTAAGTGTATAATTAAAAGAGATTTAATAAATCCATAATGATTTTGGTTAGTTAAAAGTATAATTTAAACCACCTAGTATTTTAAAAGTGTAAAATACACCCTTATACTATATATAACATTAAAAGTTTAATATTATATATGTATAACTAAAAAGTCAGTCTTACCGTTAGTAGGCCTCATTCACGAAACTAGTCTATAAGGGGTGTTTAAGGAAATTGCCTATAAAATGGCGATTGAATGGGTATCCACTCTTACCCACCGCACTCTTGACTAGTGGAGGGTCGTTAGCCGAACGGGTAGGATAGGACAGAAACCTTCCATTATAAGTATAATGAAGTACAAAGTAACTAAATGCTTTTTCAAATTCCCAAATCATAGTTACTTTAGGCAAAATGTGAAATTGTATGCTAACCCATGGAATTACACTTCGTACCCTTGTCAAACGTTAGTGGAGCGTGTGTGGTTAACCGGCACACTAATTTGGGGATGACATTGGTGGCAAAGGGTGGCTCGATGCTTATCATAGATCAATGGAGCGTGTGTGGCTAACCGGCACATTGATTAGGTGATAGTAGCATTGGGTGCACCACGTGATTCGTATGGTTATTTACACCTTGTTTGTGATCCTCGGCATCCCAGTCACGAATAGTAGGGCATAATCGAGATTAAACATGCCATTGAAGAGTTCAATGAGTCTCAAAAGATCTAGGAGTTTCAATTCATTTAAAACTTAAACTTTTTTTTTCGTTTTTCATGGTGGAAATTGGTAAATCGTCATTTACCTACCTTCAAATATTCTGCAACTAGATTACGGCATCCCTCTTCTAGGTTGTAGAGTATTGTGTTGGATCCTAGCTTGATGTTTCATTTGGGTGTTGCATCAAGAATTCTAATCAACTTAACTTGAATTTTCTCCCGTTTTGTAGATGTCTGAATCTTACAATGGTCTTCCCAAATCCTTTGGAACAAGCTTTCCAAATGAAGATGACGTTCCGAGATACGATCAAGGAAATGAGAGTCATGCTTCACTTCCTCCACCTCCTCCAATTATTCTCCCTGACCCACAAGTTCAAAGGCTTGAAAAGTTCAAGCTCACTCAAGCCCTTTTGGCAAGTAAACACGAAGATGGGAAACCTGTGTGTGCGCACGTCTTAGAGATGAAGTCATACATTGATAGGTTAAACATGTTGGGTGTCGAGATTTCAAGTGAGTTGGCTGTTGACTGGGTTCTTCAGTCACTTCCTGAATCATATAGTGAGTTCGTTAGAGAGTACTATATGATGGACCACGACGTGACCCTAATTGATCTCACCTATTTGCTTATAGCTGCTGAATCAGCAATGATTTGGCGTGCTGGTCAAGCAAATTTGTCTAGTGAATCAAACTCCCAAACTTCAATGGACACTGGCAACATTGGAAGTCCAGAAAGAACTAAGTCTGTGATTGTCCGATGTGTTGTGCCAAAGGAGTCTATTTGCTTTTATTGCCAAGAGAAGGGGCATTGGAGACGAAGCTGCCCTAATTACCTGAGAGATCTAAGAGATGGGAGAGTCAAGACGTATGGCTCTGCTTCAGGTAAAATCCATTAACTAACTCTTTTAAGTTCCTATTCTAGATTCTTAATACATGATGTGATAAGATTACATTTTGATGTTTTGTAGGATCGAAGAAAAGAAAGGAAGCTTGAGAAAAGAAGTGAGCTGAATCTGATCATGAAGAAATGGATTTCGATCGCATTACTTGAAGAATGGATTCTTGAGCTACAACTTGGAGTTAGAATAACATAGTTTTTCAGTTGAATTGCATTGTAAGGACAAGTTTTTTCCGCAATAAAATAAATTTTGATTTTGTCTTATTTATTTATCCTTACAATGAAATATATGAAAAATTGATGTTCATGTACTTCTATTATTAGCAAAATGGATTTGATTCTTAATTATGGAAATGTCAAAAGTGTACCAAATAGGGAGACTTTCTCATCGCCCAAGTTTCAATTGGACAGAAACTTGGAATCATGCAATGTGTATTGTATGATGAATGGAAAACTTTCACATTTGGGAAACTTAGACTAATTCTTTGGCAAAGTGTCAGTTGAAGGACTAGGAGATCAAGTACACTAGGTTGTGCGTTGATCAAGTCCACCACAAGAGTGACAAAGATATTCGTCATGATTTACTAAAGTTTAGTAAATGTGATTATACTTATAAGATTAAGTGTAATTCTGAGATTGATTGAAAGAGTTTCAATGAATAGTAGAACGAATAAAGAAGAATCAAGTAGGCAGAAAGATAAAAGTTTCTCTTTCTAGAAGAAGGGAGAGTACCTTTTATTGTGTTTTATGATAAGTCTTAAAGATTAAGAACCATGTCTCAATAGATCCTCTAAGTGAGTCTTAGTGCAATTGCATGTCTAAGAAGAGGAATCAAGTATTGTAGAAATGGTTAAATCAAGAAGTCAATCATACTTCGTTCCAATATCAAGTCTTAAAGTCAAGATTGTGACATTGAGTGAAAAGTTTTAAGTAGGTTTATAACACTCATCAAATATGGAACTTGGAAAAGTTTTCTTATTCTTGTACATTTGAGATTGGTAAGTTGTGATGTCTTGGATAAGACAAAGACCAACTAGGACCAACTTGTGAAGTGTTCTTGTCTTGATAATAACTGCACTGACTCTTGAATATTTGATTGTCAAGAAATGTTTCTTGACAAAGAGAATCATATATGTCAAGAGGTCAGTGGGAGTTTTAATGTTTTGAAAAAGTTTCAAGAACAAATCAAATAAACCTTATCGATCATCACTAGCGCACGAGTTGAGGTTTACAACCTATCGTGTTGACATTATTTTGATTCTGTGCCAATCCAATCGAGTTAATTATGCATGTGAGTTCTATGAATTCTCATTTGAATGCATAAAAAGCAAGGACCTTGATCAATGAAAGTACATTGATAAGAAAGGGTGAGCTGCTTAACTACTTGGAAGACGTGGTGGGCAGCTGTGCTACCATAAGGCAAGAAATCAAGATTAAGAAAGGTCAGTCCATATGAGTTTGAATTTGTCATAAACTTTGGTTTTAACAAATTCACATGGATAGGAACAAATACACCATTTAAATCTAAGTGTCATAAGATTTCCTCCTTCATGAAAATGATTGTGAGGAAATGCTTTCACTGAGAAAGATTTTAAGAAGATAGTGATTGTAAAATTGCATTCTCGAATTCGATCATGGTTACGGTATCCCTTTCCATAATTTGAATTGTGAGGTTTGGCAATTAGTCTTAATTGTTAAGACACACATATGAACTATCTAAGGCAAAGGTGTATAAGTTCAAGAAGCCTTGATAAAAGATTATCAAAGCACTAAGTATTAGAAACATGGACTTAAGA